AAACATTCGTTACCAAAGGATGCATGCTAGAATGGGTTATGAATGCTTCTTAGGTGTAAAGATTATGTAATTTTATGTAGGTTTGTACTTATGTATTGTGACGAACTGAGCCTCTTCACGTGTTCTTGGATTTTGGGCATGGGACCATGCGGGCAGTCGGCCAAAATTAAGACTTCCAGGAAATTCCTGAACCCCTGAACTGATCTGGGTGATTTTTTGGATATGTTGGTCATCCAGATCAGGACTATCAGGGGATGTAACTTTTGAGGGCGTTTTGTGTGTTTAACCCCTTAAGGACCAAACTTCTGGAATAAAAGGAAATCATGACATGTCACACATGTCACGTGTCCTTAAGGGGTTAAAGGTATTTTGGGGGGTTTGTAAAAATTTATGTTTTTTCTGTGCTTGGAAATAATTGGATTAGATTAATACAGTTCCTGATCCAATTATCTTCCAGGTACAGAGGAGGGATTATCTGATTTTGTATGGGAGTGTCCTGGACCTGGAAGCCAATATAATTGTTTATTTGTTTCTACTGTGGTTTACTCTCAGGTCTGGGGGGAGTTCCCCTTTGCATGGGGTCTGTCATAAAAGGCCAGCTGTGGCTACCATTAAACTGAGATTTGTTTTACCCTTCATGAAGTCTAGGCTCATGTTTGGGGGATTGGAGAGCTATACTCACACTCTGGGAAATGCTATAATCACTTTTTAGCACAACACTTGCTCTTGTATGTGCACCCTGCTTTGCTCTCTGGACTAGGAGAGGTCTACCCACTGCAAGCTGGATCCTGGTCTTGGGTCCATGATGGGTGGAGGATAGTGAAACCCCAACCAAGCTGCGGTGGTTTGTTGGGTTTTACGGTGGTTATGGTTTTCCAGTACAATGCTTATGGTGCTTGCAAGTATTAGGAAGCAGCGATTGCCGGAGGTACCCGGTCGGGGTGCCAGGCGGTCCATCACACGTATGTTATGGAAAATAATAAAATTTATATTCAGACAGAAAAGAATAGGAATAACAAATAATGATTTTGGTAGTCTATTTTATCTGTGGAGAGAAAAATAAGTTTAAAAATATATAATAACCACCTTTTTAAATGAGAAAAAAGTTTTTTTCATGAAAACTGTAAATGTAGTAGAATACTGCACAATTACTCTGTTGGCGGTGGGTTAAACTCATTATTTGCAGCATTTCTTACTAAAACACTGCACATAAAGAGTCTGGGCATTACATCACTTCAAAATTACTGAAGTGGTAATGATGCTTGGAGTGACCATTAAACCACTTATCTATGCTTTTTTTCCCAAGTTAGATCCTCCCCTCAGTGGATAATACCCCTTCCTCTACCCCATTATTGATATATCTATTAGGGATGTGGAATTTGTTCTGTACCAAATCAAAATTCATCCAAAATTTCTCCAAAGTTTCTAACAAAACAAATTTTGGAATAAAAAAAATAACAAATTGAACTGAAAACAAATTAATTCAAAACTAACTCTTTCAGATTCATTCAATTTCATTTTGATATGGATACCAAATTATGGAGTTATACAGGTGAATTATCAATATTAAGAAAATGGCTATTCATTTTGATCTTTAAGTTGTTCGATAACTTCGGTATAGATATCTAATTTACTTAATGTAAATATCCCGCATAAGGATTGCAAATTAGGGGTCTTCTATTAACCCCTTAAGGACGGAGCCAAATGTACATGTTGTGAACGAAACAAAATGTAAACAAAACCTGGCATTTGCGCTACATGTCTGTCCAACCGTAATTCACCTCTTTCATATTAAATGCACCCACCCTTATTATATATAATTTTATTCAGGGGAAACAGGGTTTTCATTTAATCAGTGGCGGACTAAGGGGGGGGCGGAGGGGGCGGTCCGCCCCGGGTGCCACCTGGTAGGGGGTGCCTTGACCCTGGTCTTGGGGCTGGAGGGGGCTGTGTGAGCTGTGCCCCATGGCAGCTGGGGTGTCACCGCTCACACGGAGACCAGCACGCTAAACTGGCCGCCCGTGAGGAAGAAGGGGGCGGAGCTATGGTCGTTTAGGGGTGGAGCCAACTGCGATCAGGGCCAGGGCTCAACACAGCCCTTACAAGCTGCTGTAACTGCTGCACATGGAGGTGCAGCAAGCAGAAATCCCTGCACCTCCACCTAACAGGCTCCAGGGAAGGACTTCAGGCCAGGGAATCCACTCCTCCAGCCCACACTGTCTGTAAGTATAAGAGTGTATGTCTGTATGTAACTGCCTGAAACTGTGTGTGTGTGTAACTGCTTGAAACTGTGTGTGTGTGTGTGTAACTGCCTGAAACTGTGTGTGTGTGTAACTACCTGAAACCGTGTGTGTGTGTGTGTGTAACTGCCTGAAACTGTGTGTGTGTGTGTGTGTGTGTGTAACTGCCTGAAACTGTGTGTGTGTGTAACTGTCTGCCTGAAAATGTGTGTGTGTGTGTGTAACTGCCTGAAACTGTGTGTGTGTGTGTGTGTGTGTAACTGCCTGAAACTGTGTGTGTAACTGTCTGAAACTGTGTGTGTGTGTAAGGTAGGGGGGTGCCAGACCCAGGACCCGCCCCGGGTGCCACATGCCCTAGGTACGCCCCTGCATTTAATATCAAATATTTAGCTATGAAAAGACCGGAGGGCGTACAATTACACCCGGCGGCGTTTAGAGCCGCCTAAAATAGGGCGTAATTGTACGCCCTCCGGTCTTAAGGGGTTAAACAGCTAAAGGATTGCATTTGCAAAAAGCCCTTTTCTATTTTTGATCTTTCAGCTATCAAATAGATAGCTCCCTAATTTGGTATACTTAAATATGCACTAACTCTACATAAGTATTGCAAATTAGGGAGTTATCTACTGACAAGCCAAAATATTAAAATGAAAGAAATGGCAGAATGTATGTGCTGCTTGTATACAGAATGTACACTGATCAGTCACAATATTAAAACCACCTGCTTAATATCCTGTAGGTTCTCCTCGTAAAGATAAAACAGCTCTGATATATATAAACAGATTTTATAAGTAAAAATGAACTAGCAAAATGATTGCACACATTGAAAATTATTTAAATAATGTATATATAACATGTAGTAATTCCAATATGATTGATGTGACCATAGAAAAACATTCAGCTGAATACATAATTGAGGTTATTTTGCAATAGATTTATTTTCACACATGCCAACTTCTGTGGTCCTATCATGATGCATAGTGCACATATAGACAAGTCAGCTTTTCTTTCCAATTGGATTACCACATCTCGCTAAAACAATCGGTTTTTAATGTGGTAACCTTACTTTCACCAATAGCTTTTTCAAATAAGACATTGCCTGGAATTTGTATTTGGCAACAATTTTTAGAGCTGTGAAAACCAAACATGAAGAATTTGTTTTGTGTGCAGAAAATCAGAGGTAATTTTAATTCACATAGCCATTAAGTATTTAAAAAGTCAAGATACCTTGAACATGATACCATGAACATATATCAAAATGTGGTTCACACATACATAAAACTAGACTTGCAAAATATCAATGTGGAAAATCACAGAATAAAAACATTACATATTTATATTGTGTTGATATATGGGTTTCATTAACCATTTGTTTCATTTAATTTTGTTGAAATCATAGTTAAGTACATATATTTAACAACATGCCTTGTACACGATTATTCATTTTAGAAATATAATGAATATATAAAAAATAAATAAATAAAAATCACATCAACATTTGTTCATTTCAACCATATTTATAATCATGACAAAATGTTTTGGGAATTGTTTTGAGAAAACAGTTTTGTTTATTGCTTATACGCTTGTCCAATGCTGGACAAGACATGGTTCTTCTTGGGTCTGAAGACAAATTGCTAAACAATAACCCACTAAAACCTTATATCCATCTCACATGTTTCGATTGGTTATAGTGTATTTAAGGCATAGCTCACGCTAATTTTATGGCAAGACAGGAGGCTTCATATTTGCTTTACCTTCTTTACTGAAAACCTCCAACAGCAAAGAAATAGTTAACAGAACTTTTTCAAACAACCAATTCGAACAATATAACATAACAGCAGTATGAAATCTCAGTCAGACCCTCCCACTTCCTCTTTCTTTGCTGTTGTCTCCAGGTGAGCACTGTCCAACTCAGAGAGTGTGTCTGCTCTGGGTTATTTGTGTTATTTTATTGCATTATTACTGTGTATTGGTTCTATTTTATTGGGGACTACTATTTATGTGTGTGCCTCTTGGCTATATGTGGGAATCTGGGCTCCTGGGGACTGTCTGACCTTGGGTGTCAGTGGGTTTTCTCCCCGGCCTACCTCCGCAAGGCTCGCGATTGCATCGCCCTCCGGGGATTTGCCGCGCTCTACCACCTGTTTTTTCCGCCTTCTTGGCCCCTATCGCAGCTCACAGCCGTTTTCCACACACCTGCGAGCGGCACTCAGACCACTCATGGCCCGATTTTCAACCTCCGGGGCTCTGCAATCACATATTTATTTTGGCACCACATGCGCTCCCACTCGTTCCGGGCAGCCTAGACCTTTGGTTTTGCTCCCCTACATGTTGACTGTGCTGCCAGCTACCCCATTCATTACTCAGCTTTGTTTCAGGTTATTAGGCCTCCTAAACCCAAAGTGGTGGTAGGCCTTGGGCCTACTACATGTGTGGTAAGCCACTTACTGTATATATTCTATTTTAGGGCACAGCCCAGTCCATATTATTGCCCTCTACTGGGCCCTGCTGTGGTGTCTGTGGCACACCTCTGGATTGGGTGACCCTTTTCCCCTGACTGCACTGCTGTCCTTCTGTCCTGTGATAACCATATTGAGGGTTGACCCCCTCTCCTACTGGCCTATATTACATGATATGCATGTGCTTGCTGGGTGACCCCCTCTTGCATGCTGGGTGACCCCCTCTTGCACGCTGGGTAACCCCCAGCTGGCCTCATCAGGTACTACACTTACAGTGTTTTACCTCTATTGCAGTGATACAGTCATGGCTGACAAAGCAGAATTCTATGCCCCTGAAGGCCTCCAGGCCTGGCTTCGTGCTGCCATAGCAGGCTTGTTGCCCAAAGCCCTCACAACCTTCCGCGGTGACGCCCTACTGGATCCTCTGGACCCAGCACCCGGCACTTCAGTTGCTCAGGCATCTGACTCAGGGGACTCCCTCCGCTCTGAAAATATGGTCTGCGCACGCAAAAGGCCTTGGACAGGCCATGGCGCTCCCACCGACAAAGGGAAGATGCCGGCCAAATTTGTAAGGATGACGTCTGACTTTGGTTGCCACCCGGTGGATGAGGGTTATAATGCTAGATTAGTACCGGGCTGAAAGCTCTGGCAATGCATCCCTCAGCGAAGGATTTTTCGGTGGCCAATCCCGTTATGTGTGGGAGACAGTTTTGGACTCCTTCCAGTCTGATCGGCAGAGGACCTGGCCAGTCATCGCTGTAGACCACGGTGAGATTCTGAAACCTTCAGGACACCCCCTCTTCGACCAAAGGTTGATCAAACATACTAAATCTTCGGAATGGGCCCCACCGGACCACATCAGGGAATTTCTGCGCTACTGGACAAGGAGGTCAGGGCAAAACTTCGGGCAGAATGTCCCCGCCCAACCCTGCTGGACAAAGTGGCCCTTACTACACTTTGACCTGGTGTTTGCCACCTTTATGATCAAGTCTGGGAAAAACCCTCGCAAGGGCCTGGAACAGGGCCTACAATTGGCCCAAAACAAGTTACTGGACGTCAGTGGGCCACTGACGCAGATGTTTCTCATGACAGATGATTGCATTACAGAGTGGTACCCCAGTGGATGCGGAGCTTCTTCGCGAATGGTCCCAACGAGCCATCTGCTTACTTGGCAACGCCAATGTGGCAATGTTCTCTGAATGCCGCAAAGCAGCTCTTTACAAATTGGAAGGCAAGTTGGCGGATTTGGTGGCCAAGGAACTGGGTCCTGATGCCAAAGGATTTCATGAAGAAACTGAACGGGCATGTCACTATATATACATCCCTCAATAAGGCATAGATATCCCTCAAGAGAGTTTTACGATCAGGGGATCGTTTTTCCTCCAGGGCTGGTCGACAGAGGGGTCGTGAATCCAGCAGAGCAACCTTCATGTGCAACAGATCCCGCCTCTCAGAATCCTTTTCTGTCGAACTACTATTTGGGCTGGGGTGCTGCTTGCCATGGCGTGGCAAGAGGAGGACTTTGGACTCTGGATGAGAGAGCCCTTCACATCAACTGTCTGGAACTGATTGAAGGATCTCTATCAATACTGTCTGGAGAGGAACTTGTCTCTTGTGGGCGAAAACTTCCCGGGACAGGACAATCAAGTAGCGGACTGGTTCTCCCGCCACTGGAGAGACGCCAGCAATTGGCAACTCCACCCTCCGGTGTTTTGATTGTTGGACTCACTTTGAGGCTCCCTTCTTCTGGATCTGTTCGCATCTAGGGCAAATCATCAAATGGAATTGTTCTTCAGTTGGCTTCCTAATCCCCTCAGCGAGGCAGTGGACGCGTTTCTCCAAGACTGGCCTCCCTCAGGGGCATATGCATTTCCCCCTTTCACCATGATATTTCGGACGTTGCATTGGACCAAGTTTCTGGGGGTGTTGCTGCTCCTGGTTACACCACTTTGGAGGAGTCAGCCGTGGTTCCCTCTCTTGCTGGAGTTGCTGTGCAAAGACCCTAGGTTTCTCCTATGGGATCCTCAAGGGAATCACATCCATTGATGTTAGAGGAACACCTACCGCTGGTGGCTTGGACCGTTTCTGGGGTTCAAGGGATGTGTCATTTCATTGTGTTTCTTTTGTTCGTGCTTTTGGTGTAGACTCTTTTTTCCTTTTCGCCAAATCTTGTGTCTGTCTCTATCTCACGCAGGATGAAATCTAATTCGTCTTCTGTGTCATATCCTTACTTTGCAGACAGACCATGTTTCTGTGTGGCACGTTGTCTATGGACGTATATCTCTAGAACCTTGTCCTTTTACCCTTCTGCTCATGGGTAGCTGTTCATTTCCTAAGTATGACCGCGCGTTGGATTTGATGGCTTCTATCGTCAGCTGGCGTGGCGAGTTCCTTTGGGGCACATTCAGTTCTGGGTGCTGCAGCTTTGAACCCAGTGGATCCCTTGAGGATATTCTTGGTGCCACTGACTGGTCTAGGGAATCGACTTTCTGTACTTTTTATTTCCATCCACGATCTCATGTTTCTTCTGCCTTTATGTCTGGGCAATAAAATTGCAAATAGATAGCTTCCTGTCTTGCCATAAAACTAGGGATTATTCTAGCCTTGGTGAGGGAATAATCTAAATTTTAATAAAGACAGGAGGCAAATATTTCCCTCCCTTGACATTCCCCTCCCTGTATTTGTTTTCTCTTATGTTAATTGGAGTTATTGTCATGTTTTTGTAATGTATTGTCTCTATTAAATTGTCCTTTTTAAATTTTTCACACAAATAAGTACCATATATCCACATTTGTATTCCACAATTTATTTGTAGTTTTACCCTGCCCTATGTTTGTGTTGAAAAATGGGTTGCTGCTTGGTGGATTTACTACTAATATAACATTACTGTGTTTGACGTCATTGCACACGGCACACAAGGCACAGTGCTTTTGACACTTGCACAGCGCACAATTAAAAGAAAAACTGATTCTACACTATTACATTTATTATTTATTTATACATATATATATATATATATATATATATATATATATATTAAGGCAGAGTCTGGAGTTGTGGGAGGGGATGATATATAATCACAAACTTAACTCCATACCGGGCCAATGTCGATTGGTCACTTCCAGTTCCGGTTTCAACAGAAAAGCTTCCTGCATGGTTTCCAGATTGTTATACTGTCCGACTTCCAACAGACCCTCTTACCATGACAATCACAGCCCAACAACTCAAGCTCGTCTTTCCCAGAGCCACTAGACTCCCGAGGCACCTTCCTGGACTTCCGGGTCAGCTGACAGCACCCGGCAACAGTGAGTACACGAGCATATGCATGAACAGTAATAAACGCATACATAAGCCATTAATACAATAGCATACGAAACCGCCGAGGAACGTGGTAAATACGAAACTTGCACTAACTCCTAAACACTTGGTAATTCGTATAAGAACCATATATGGCTACCGCGTACAACTAAACTAAGCAGTTCATTTGGCACAATTCACGTTACAAAGTAATACATATGGTACAACACCCCCACCTACCATCAAAATCTGCGGACTACACACAAAAAATCCAACCTTTTTCACTACAATAGTTACTATGGTAAAGTGTTTGCAAAAATATTGTTTTAAAAGTTATACCTGTCACTTGTCATGGTTTAGTTCACAAATAAGGTTGTTGTTACGCGGCAATCCACACGATTTCTCTGGTCACACGGAGGAAAGCAAGTAGTCCTTTTGGCGGAAGAATTCAAAAATTACCAAATCAGTCCATATTTTCTCATGTATACTCATGTCCATGGCATTTGTCACTTCATATACTGTCAGAACCCAGATCTCTACTCTCTCACTCACTAAACAGGCACATTGGCTGTTAATTCAGTATATTATTATTATGCTATTATTTATATAGTGCCAACAAATTCTGCAGTGCTTTACAGTGGGTGGACGAACAAACATCTAGTTGTAACCAGGCAAGTTGGACACACAGGATCAGAGGGGTTGAGGGCCCTGCTCAATGAGCTTACATGCTAGAGGGAGTGGGGTAACGTGACACAAAAAGGTCACTTTTGCAAGAGAGGAATCAATCGGGAGCTATTAACAGTTTAATTGATATGCTTTTATGAAGAAGTGGGTTTGTAATGATTTATTGAAGGAGTGGAGACTGGGTGAGCATCTAACGGAGGAGGGAAGTGAGTTCCACAGGAACGGTGCAGCCCTCGAGAAGCATCATAGGTGGGAGTACAGACAGAAGATAGACGTAAGTCTTCAGCACAGCATAAGGGCCAAGATGGGACATACTTGTATATTAGGGAGGATAAATAGGTGGGAGCAGCATTATGTAGAGATTTGAAAGCAAGAACCAGAATTTAAATTGAGCCCTATATCTTACAGGACGCCAATGTAGGGACTGACAGAAGGGTGAGGTGTGGGAGGTGCGAGAGGTGCGGGCGGACAGGAAGATGAGCCTTCGCCACTGCATTCATTATGGACTGTAACGGTGCCAGTTGGGAGCACGTAAGACCACTGAGAAGCTGATTCAAGTAGGCAAGAAAAGACAGTGGAATGGACCAGCACCTTAGTCGCATCTGGCGTTAAGTATGGTCGGATGCGCGCAATGTTTTTCTTATGGAAGCGGCAGGATTTGGCGATAGACTGAACATGAGGCATGAAGGAGAGGTTGGAGTCAAAGAGAACACCTAGGCAGTGAGCCTGTGTGGTGGAGTTGATGGTAACACCATTGACTTGGAAGTAGACAGACACAGGAGTAGCAACACTTGAGGGAGACCAGAATTTCAGTTTTGGCCAAGTTGAGTTTAAGGCAGTGGGCAGCCAGCCAGTTAGAAATAGCAGAGAGTCAGTCAGAGACACTAGTCAAGAGAGATGGGGAGAGATCAGGAGAGGACATCAATGCATCTCTATGAGGAAAGATCATTGTCTCAATGCAAATAAATCACAGACTCAAAATTTGAAATACTTAGAATTTTTTAAGTTCATATTTTGGTCCAATTTGAAATGCACTTTGAATTTCCAACAGTTCTCACTTTAGTGAATAACCGTGTTAGCCTGAATTTTACCATTCAAATTTAATTCACTAAAATTCTGTGTTTAAAGATTAAACCTGATGGTGTTCATGAAAGGGATGCAGTAATGTAGTTGCCTCTTAGTATATGTTTTGGACCCATGATCACATTTGTTAATGTGAATATTTATTTACATGCATGACTATTTTTTTTTTATGGACAGATCTTACTTGGTGCACTGGGAATGCACAGTTTTATTTATCCAACTTGAAGAAGCCAATCAAATCTTTATATATTTTATTGTGAAAACGTGTCATAGTTAGCATTCTGACATATGTTCAGGTAACCAAGAGCTTGAATATCTTCACAGCAAAATTGATTGCCCATAATCAAAACCTTTCCTCCTTCCTTCCTTCCTTTTCTCCTTCATCTTAAACAGAGAGTAATATAATATTGCTCACATATAGCTGTCAGGTGGACATAAATGTATTCACTGAAAAAACATCTTTAGTATAGAAGTGAAAATTCCTGCAAAGTGTAAATTGTTCTCACACATTCCTATTATTTTGTGAATGCAAGTTGGCAACAACATTATAACATGACATGTTTAAACACATGCTCC